TAGTCACTACAAAAAGCAAAACCTCCCTGATATTTTTCCTTTTAGGAAACTTGGAAACATCTATTTTATGACATTTTCCAGTGGTTTTGCCTTGTTTTATAGCAATTGACAATATTTATATAATGACATAAACCACCATAAAGCAAGGCAGCCATGTAAATAGGTGTAAAGCGGAGGGCTCCCAGTGAAGCACCCGGGCTGCTGGAGACATCACCGGGGGGAGCGAGCCCTGCTGCTCCTCCCCCTGCAGCCACAAGGCCCCTCCGAAATTAATCTGGGTATTAGCAGAGAAATCCTGCCCTGGACATCAAGCAAGCCCCCCCCCAGATCCATGTTTTTTCTCCCCTTACCCGGAGCAGATCTAGTTTTCCTTATTTCAGAGCTCAAGGAGAGCCAACAGTTTTGTAGTCAAGGGAACCCAAGCTACCAAGTTTCGAAAGATAAAATCTGATCTCAAGTGTCTAAACAGGGGCTTAGAGCCCCAAAGCTGGGCTTGGGATGCTCTCCTGCAGCTCTCATCAGCTGGTGGCAGGGACACGCTGCACCGGCTGGGGGGGGCTCATCCTTGGTTAGCTGGGATGCCCTTGAACCGTGGGAGACCTTCGAATGGCCTAAAAGCCACCGGATCCAACCCAAACCCAGAGCACGAAGGCAAGGCCAGGGGATGTGGGGCCTTGGGAACTGCCCCCGAGCACTCCTGGACCCCCACCACTCACTCCCGATTTCCCAAGCTTGGCAAGTGCACCCGTCCTCCCTCACACAGCCTTGACACCCCCCAAACCTCCCCTGGGACAAGCCTCGTCCCCTTCCCCAACCCCACCAGGTCGGGAGGCTGCAGAAGAAACGCCACCCACCGCGTCCCACAGCAGGACCCCTCCAGGCCCCAACACAACCTGGGAAATCAGAAAGAAACGGGAGTTTGCACAAGACATGAAACAACTCGGAGCCCACCACAGCCAGAGCAACCCACAGAAGCAAAGTCCCCATTCCTGTCCCACCAGGACCCCATCCTGTGATCCCTGTTGGAGTTTTCACAGAATCACAGAATGGTAGGGGTTGGAAGGAACCTCTGTGGGTCTCCAATCCAACCCCCTGCCCAAGCAGGGTCACCCAGAGCAGGCTGCACAGCACCGCGTCCAGGCGGGGCTGGAATATCTCCAGAGAAGGAGACTCCACAGCCTCCCTGGGCAGCCTGGGCCAGGGCTCCGTCACCCTCAGAGGGAAGAAGTTCTTCCTCATGTTCAGCTGGA